AAATAAATGTGCCTCCAATATGGGGAGTTTCTGTTGCAGCCCGGTAGGGTGCTAACAAGAAAATGGCTTCACTGAGGTTCGTTTGTAAAAGCAATTCTGATATGCATGTCATATGAAATAATAGAACCATAAAATGGCCTGGGTTGGAAAGAACTTTAAAGATCATCCAGATCCAACGACCCTGCATGGGCAGGGCACTAGATCAGGTTACTCAGAGCCCCATCCAGCCTGGTCTTTCACAGCTTCCTGGGAACCCATTCCAGTGTCTCACCACTCCCGTAGTGAAGAATTTCCTCCTACTGTCTTAAATCTCACCTCTTCAAATTTTAAGCCCATTAACACATCCTTTTGCTACATGCCCTTGTAAAAAGTCCCTCCCCAGCTTTTCTGTGTCCCCTGGAGAGCCACTATAGAGTCTCCTTGAAGGCTTCTCTTCTCCAGGCAGAACATTCCCAACTCTCAGCCTGTCTTCGTAGCAGAGGTGCTCCAGCCCTCAGACCATCTTCAGTGCCTTCCTTTGGACTTGCTCCTAGAGCTCCATGTCCTAATGTTGAGGACTCCAGAGCCAGACACAATACTCCAGCTGGGGTTCAGTGAGAGCAGAGTGGAAGGGCAGAATCACCTCTTTTGACCTGCTGGCCACACTTCTTTTGATGCAGCCTAGTACTGGTTTGGCTTTTTGGTTGTTGAGTGCACATTGCTGGCTCATGTTGAGCTTCTCTTCAACATCTCCAAGTCCTTCTCCTCAGGGCTGCTCCATTCTCTGCCCAGCCTGTATTTGTGCTTGGGATTGCCCCCACCCAGGTGCAGGACCGTGCACTTGGCCCTGTTGAGCTTCATGCAGTTTTCTCAGGCCCACCCCTACAGGTCCCACTTGATGGCCTCCCCTCCCACCAGTGTGTCAACTGCACCACACAGCTCGATGTTGTCAGAAAACTTGCTGAGGGTGCACTCAGTCCCACTGTCCATGTTGCCAACAGATGTGTCAAACATTTAGAGGCAGACTTCCATAGCCTGCTGCTTCTGCTCTTCTTTTTTTCATGTCCTTGTCACAATTACTTCTCCATGGGCCACTTTTTCTGATAGGCAAGGAAGAGTGTGCTTTGTGGTAAAAACAGGAATTTCACAATTTACTTTATTTCTGTGAGTCATAAGAAAGTAACTTCATTTTTATCATAATCAGGTAATTATTTCTCCTCTCTACTTCTGTCGAGCCCCATAGACTCGTATGTGTGTTAGTTTCAAGTAAGGTAGAATGCAAATAGCCACAGGGGGCAGTTAGCAAGGATGGTGGCATCAGCTCACATGTGGCCAGTACACTGAAGTTTAGGGCTCTGGACTTTCCAATTCCAGTTGCACGCAAAAAGAAACTGCACCTGAAGTCACAAAGCACCTGCTCTCTAGGTCCTTGTAGTACTCTGAGGAAAACTGCTTACTTGCCACGTCAGAAATTGCCGTGTCTGTATTCAGTTTGGTTTGATACAGAGTGGCTCAGCTCTCAGCTTACTTCCCTCCTTTTGTTCATACCAAGTACTCATACTCAGTGAGGGGAAGATGTCTCTAGCTGCTTTAGGATTCATTCAACCCTAAGTCAGAAGCTGCATGTTCTTCAAAGGGAGTTAGAATGTGAAAAGAAACAATGTTTCTTTTTAAATTGCAGCATTCTAAGTGTGAGCCACATGAACTGGGAGGTGGAGATGGCTGCTGCTGCACAGATCTGAAGTTGTTTTGCCTGGAGTTAATTTATTAAATGCTTTCATTGAAGCACTTGAACTATCTCCAGAGGTTCTTTTGCATAAGCAGCAGAGTAACATCTGCACCTTATCCACAGGCAGAGAGGTCTCCTAAATCTCAGGTTTGAGGACCTCTGCAACTCCCACCCCAGCTATGTCTACTGTATAAGTAAGGGAGGAAGGGGCTATCAGATTACAAGCATATGTCTCTTTCAAGAGTCTGGCAAAGAGTATTTCACCTTGCAGGGAAAGAAGTGTAAGTAGGCTTGGGTGGATAAGATGGTCTTTGCTCTTGGGTGTGACAGCACATTAAACCCCTGGCAACTCCTATGTGCTTGGAAGCAGAAAAGTGCTATTTTATTACATCCTTGTTTAGATTAAGTAAATGTCCTGTGTTCTCTATGTGCAAAATGGGACTTTAATGTGAAAGCCTTAAGAACTGTTCCTCCATCAAGTGGACTGGTAGAATTGCAAGAGGCAGCTGTATAAAGCATCTGACATTAAGGTTCTTTGGTGGTGTTGAATAGTCAGCTATGGAGATGCAGTGTTTTCTTTGGGGAAGATGTGTCCCTCCTGAATATGTAGATTTAAGAAGTTCTTACTCCCTTTGACTGTTTCTGTATAAATAAAGAAGTGTTCCATGTCACTAATTCTACCATTCCCTACCCATCAGCTAAAATCAGATAAACCCATTACTAACACTAGTTAGTGTTTCTGTTGGTTTTGTAGTCCCTGAAAAGTACTAGTTAGTTCATGTTTGTGTACTAATATATATATTGCATAGTGCATAGTATTTACTGAGTGCAGTGTTCTTACTCATACACATCTTTTGCAGGATAATCCTTTCACCATGGAAGCTGAAGAAACAATGGAGTATATCCAAGAATTCCCTGAGCACTATAAAGTTATTTTGGATAGACTGAATGAGCAACGTGAGCAGGACCAGTTTACAGATATCACTCTGATAGTCGATGGTAAGTACAGACCTGAGCTGTTGCACAGAGGATTCTGAAAGCTGTGCTGGGAAGCTGCTGGGTTTGTCACAGGTCACTGTCAGACTGGGCTGCCACCACATCCTTGGTTCTGTACTGGCATGCAGGTTGCTTGCAGAATTTAATTTAAAATCTTGGGATGAACAGAATCTCCAGCAGTGTTGAATAATTTTGCTTCTGCAAAAGGGGCTAAATATTTCCAGAGAGAAGCCCACTTTGAAACTACTGTGTGGTATTTAACGATTTCCAAAATGTTGTTAAAGTATTTTTCCTTACCTTGAGCTGACTATTTGCATGCAGAGAACTTGTACAAATATTGTATTTAAAGCAAGCCAACAAACATAAAAACCAAAACAACAACAACAACAACAACAAACCACCTTGAAAGAATTAGTCCATGCTGCTCTGGCATCTGCCTACTATTATATAGTTAAAATAGGGTAGAATCACTCACTTTTCTCTTTATATGTGTTCTAAGGACAGAAGTATTCATTTAAAAGGATGATGGGTGTAAAAGCGTTTATTATCTCTTAAAAAAAGGTGGTGTCTGGTACATCACCTAAGATTGCTTCTTGGCCCAGACATCTCTTGGAAGAGATGGGGACTTCAAGAGAGATAGGCGGTGTCCGCTAGGGCAGACTTAGCTAAAGGAGTATCAGCTGGTGTTTAAAAGGACAGCAAGAACTCAGTTGAAGGGAAGGATCATAAAGAACCTGCATTAGAAAAAAGTAAACAAATTCTAGTAAAAAAAAAAGTAAGTTCTAGTCTGTGTTGTTTCTCTTATCTCTGTCCTGTGGAGCCTCATGAATGTTCATTCCTGTGCCAGGAAGAAAGCAACACAGTGATAGGTAATACACAGTCTGGAAAACAGAAAGAACAGAGCAAAATTGCTTTTGTTCTGCAGCAGTATTTATGCTGGCAGAAGTGGTGATAAAATGCATCAGTCTGTAAGAGCAACAAAAAACAGGGAGAACCTGGGTAAAACCTGACAGCTCAGGCCAAGACATGCAGGAAAATGTTTGCATAGGAATTTTCCATAACTGAAATAGTAAGTCCTCCATCTGGTTGAGTTGCAGTGTCAGCAAGTGGCTGCACAGGATGGCACAAGCTAGCTGCAGTAGTGTCCTGTGTTACAAGGAGACATACGAAGTGACTGTGCTGCTGGAATGGATTTGTAGACCGTGTGATCTCTTTTCTGCATCTGCACTTATTCTGCACTATGAGTGAGGAAGCTGTTGTCCTAAACCAAAATCTTTGCCTCTGTAGGTCACCATTTCAAAGCTCATAAGGCTGTTCTTGCTGCCTGTAGCCAGTTCTTCTACAAATTCTTCCAAGATTTCACTCAGGAGCCGTTGGTGGAGATTGAAGGTAATCTGATTCGTGCAAATAAAAACTTTCAGAGTTGTGTGCCCAGGCTGGAAATTAATGCAGAATCCTTGGTACAGGCTTGCATGCATTCTGGGTCATAGAAATTAGCTTTCCAGATTTCAGCCCCGGAACTGTTCTGAGGCAACTACCACCTCTGGAGAAAAAACTTCCCCTGAAGGAAAACTAAAAAGAACAGTATTTATCTGTATCTTTTGGAAGGGAAAATGTGAAGTTCTCTGGGTGTTTTTTTTTCCATTTCTTTTTTTCTTCCCCAGGCAAACTCTGTCTGTTTTAGCGCTAGCAGATGACATACAAACTTTCCCTGACAACAGCCATTCTGGTCAGATGAAAAAGGCTGCCATTGATAGCCAATGACGGATGCCTTGGCTGGGGTACAAGGGCAGGGTAGACACAGACAAGTACATTCCTAGTAGGCAGGGAACAAATTCCTGAAGCAGTGTTTCAGTCTCCAGTAACTTGCTCTCATGAGAGATTGTATATTTGTATTTAATTCTGTACTTTTTATTGTTCAAACAGTTTTATGTCTACCTTACTCTTTTATGGTTGTCATGATGTAACTCTCTAATTTTTCCAGATTCATATGTTTCTATAGTACATTTTTTATTCCAATGTAGGCCTTCTTAAGGGTTTCCTCTTTATGAAACTGTTAGCTCTAATACTGCGAGCAAAATGGTGAGCAGGCCAGTGCACAAGATTCATCAGATAGGTGAGACAGAGGAAGTGCTAAATTAAACTGTTGTTTTCCTTGCCTGTGTGTAGGTGTAAGTAACATGGCATTTCGTCACCTGATTGAGTTCACCTATACAGCAAAACTAATGGTCCAAGGTGAGGAAGAAGCAAATGATGTTTGGAAAGCAGCTGAGTATCTACAGATGTTAGAAGCTATCAAAGCTCTTGAAATCAGGTAAGCACATAAACCTCTTTTTATTGCCAACACTGAAATGTAGTCACAAGAATCCTCTTATGAGAGTTGGCTGCCAGGACTTTGCAGTGCTCTTCCTTGTCCTGGAACCTTCTGAACCTTGTGTGGGACCATATACTCTTCTACTATAATGTGTGGGTCAGAATTATAAAAGCTAAAAAATGAATGTCACAGTCTTTGGTCTGGAACTCAGTGACAAGTGGCATGGCTGGTAAATGTTGCAGACATTGTAGGGCTGTGACTTTGTGGTAACTGCTACCAGGTCTCTGTGCTGACTGACCGCGCCTGATTGACAGCTGGGTGTACAGTCACAAGGTGCCTCCTCAGGCAATTAGACCACAGTAACAAATTTATGCTAGTGTTCTGATTTCATTCAGCTTTCCACTATTTCTGAGACAATAAGGAGTGGCCTTAAAATTCCTTGCTGCAAAATTAACCCCTCAAAATCCTTGAATGAATGTGACTTATGATCAGTTTTATATGGGGCCAATGCTCAATCAAATGCTGCTGTAGTGCTTCTTATCCGGTCCCAGGAACTGTACTCTCACACTGAACTCCATCCTGAGACAAGCAAGTGGCAGGCCTGTCATGCTGTTTTTCTTTCCCTTCCTGCACTTCCACAAAGTGATGTCACTTTCTCATTCATTCGGCATGCTACACTGTTCTGTCAGTATGAAGCAGAGGAAGGGACAATAAATGGTCCCAGCATTACAGTGACTTGTGCTTTCTCTTCTAGGCCTGCTGAAAGTTGTTGGCATTCAGGCTGAGGAAAGACTTGCTTCTTTTTTGTCTCCCCATACATAGATTAGCCAAGGAGAGTGCCATTGGCCCCAAGTTCCTTTAGCAGGCAGATAACATTTTCCTTTAAAAAAAACTCCATTACACGATATACTGGAAACCTGGTTTATTTCTGAATTAACTTATTCTGTGCTAATTCTGTAGATTGACAGTAGAGTTGGATAAGTATGTATTTTTTTTCATAGGAAAGATACAGGATTGTGCATTTCTACTACACTGCAGCGTCACAAACACCTTTTTTTGGAAATTATTAAGTGTTGTAGCACCAAAATCTTATTTTTTTATTATTAAGGAAGAAAGGCAGACCTTAGCTGTCTACTTGAGGAGTTTAAAAAGAAACCCGAAACTGAAAAAGTCTGTTCTAATTAGTATCATTTTGAGTCAGTGTACATTGGCAGACCTGTTGAACCAGGATTCATTTTCAAAACTGATAATCAGTAGTAAAAACTCCAGCATGCACGTGCATCTTAAGTGCTACTTGAAAGCATTGGCCTGCTCATCTCTGCCCATGTTTGTGATTGTCTGAGGTGCTGTCCTGACATTTTGGAGCAAGGGAGTTGAGTGAGGAAGAACCAGAGCAGAGCTGGGAGTTGTGTTTAAGCTGAGAAAATTAAGCTAGAATACTCTTCTCAGGTCCCTGTGGCTTTTACTTTTACCTCAGCTGTCAGGTGTGAAGTACGAGATGTTACAGTAACCATTGGGTGAAGTCACAGCTGTAGTGTTTTCTAACAAGCTGGAAGTGCTGCAGGCAATTGCACTCCCTCCAGAGCTAAAGGGGTGAATAGTGTAGAACAACTTGAATACTATTTCTGAGTAGACAGGCCAGGAGCTCCTTGGTTCAGGGAAGTTTTCTTTCCAAGTACAGAATTTCACAAGTTCATTAGATAAACTTACGTCATTAGTTAACTGGCCTTTCTTCTTGACAGGTGCTTGTATCATTCAAGCAGAGTTATTTAAAACACCAGAGAAACCTTATGTCAAAGGCTCTGCAGCCTTAAACATGCTGTGTTACACCTCTAAGGAGTGTAGATTAAGGAAAAACTAGCATCTGACATGCACACAGGTTATATGGTCATTCATCATTCAGCTTCTCTGAGAAATAACTAGAGAGTGTTTCTTGCAGAAGCTCAGGGTTAGGCAGGAATTCTTACATCAGTGATTATGGATCTTAACCTTGTTTATAAAAATGCTTTACAGGAACAAAGAAAATTCATCACCTTTAGAATCAAATCAAGCACAAGGTAAAAATAAACCAAAAAAGAGGAAGATAGCTGAAACTTCTAACGTTATCACAGAAACACTGCCATCTGCAGAGCCTGTTGAAATTGAGGTTGAGATTGCTGAAGGGACGATTGAAGTGGAAGATGACAGCATTGAAACCCTTGAAGAAGTGGCTTCTGCAGAGCAATCCATAAAGTACATACAGACAACAGGTACATCAGATGAATCTGCTCTGGCTCTTTTGGCAGATATCACCAGCAAGTATCGTCAGGGAGAGAGAAAATGCCAGATCCAAGAAGAAGGTGATAGTGCAACTGATCCCTCATGCAAACAGGTAGAAGGTATTGAAATTGTGGAACTTCAGCTGTCACACGTGAACAATTTATTCCACTGTGAGAAATGTAACCGTTCGTTTAAATTGTTTTACCATTTTAAGGAACACATGAAAACACACTCTACTGAGAGTTACAAGTGTGACATATGCAATAAAAGGTACCTACGCGAGAGTGCTTTGAAACAGCATCTCACCTGTTACCACCTTGATGAAGGTGGTGCCAGCAAGAAGCAAAGACCTGGCAAAAAAATACATATATGCCAGTACTGTGATAAGCAGTTTGACCACTTTGGACATTTTAAAGAGCACCTCCGGAAGCACACAGGTAAGAGCACTGCTATAGTCCTGTCCTGGTGGCCTCGGCTCTAGCATATGGGGTTTTTGCATGTTTTGGGTAAAGAGAGAATATGCTGAAAAGACCACGAGTCCTAAGTGCTTGAAATTCTTTGCTTCTAGTTACAACTGAAATGCTGGTTTGTCTTTTTCCTTGTTAATTTATTTTGTTTTTCACTGATGCAAGCTTTTGAGAGGCTGATGTGGTAGTGCCTAAAATCAGAAGGCACTTATGAAGCTTCTCTCTTGAGTCTATTCAATCTTAATGATTTTTTCAAAAACATTTTTAAGGCATTTCCTTCTTCAAAAGTACCAAACTGAGGAACTACTTTTATTGTCACAGTTCTACTGGTAAATGTTTCTGTTGAAATATAATCTAAACTGTGAGATTCTCAGTGGAATACTGCTTAGAGGTTTTATTTATAGAATTGTAGAATCTTACAGAACTTCTGAGCAAATGCCTATGAATGTGCTAGGCATGAAGTACCCCCTAACAATTCTCTCTTGTACCACCAGGTTTGAAAAGTTTCACCCATGCCTTTGACCTCTCATCTGTGATTTTCTTTTTCTTTGCTAATTAATGCAGGAAAAGATTTCTAGTGACTACAGTACACTTTTTTTTACTGCAAAATCTGCCTCTTCGAAAAGTGGGTGGCATCTTCTGAGTATAAAATTACTTGTGCTCATTCTTTCTAATATGGGAGGCTAAGATGCTGCTTCATCTCACTGAGAAGTCTACTATCCAAATGGATACTGAGCATTATACTGTTAACTCTGAATGTAAAATGTATGTGGTCCTGAAATAAACATCTTCCAGATGTTTTTGTTTAATATATCAGTCATGAGTAATCAGTGAGAATTTAGTGCAGGATAGCAGCCCTGTTTCTTTTGCAGCTTCTTTTTATTGTTAAGGCCTTTTAATTTGAATTTCTTTTTATCTGTGTATGAGGCCCCCAAGTATTGATATGATGTATGTGTCTAGCCTATTCCAAATAGCCTCTTAAAAGTTCCATTTATAAATGGAAGTTTTTGGAAAGTCCTTATCCCCTGTGAAGCAAAGAGTATTTCTCCATTGTGAGCAGTCCAAACACAAGCTACTTTTCAGAGGTCTTTTCAGAGAAAAGTTTGTGTCAGTTTAACAGATAACCCACGTATCACAGTACAGTGGTTGCTGTTGCAATGAAGGATTTTGGGGATAAAGCAACTTAGCATATCATGGGAGATACAGAATACTATCTAAATATATATTGATACAACAGGCATGACACATGGAATCTAATTACTTCTTGCTTACAATTTTTAAAAGCTTTAAGCTTGAAATCAAACCAGATACTGCCATTTAACTGTGGTCTCCCAAAGTCAGTGGAAAAACTCCCATTCAGCCAAAGGCTTTTAAAGTTCTGAGTTCTCTGCAGCAGTGTTTAATGCTCTGAAGTATGCATTGGTTGCTTGGGCAAAGTCCATGCGTTTTGACCTCCAAGACTTGGCATTTTAGCATCCTCTGCATTACCTGTACAAGTCTCCAAAAACATAGCATTCTGTAACCAGTAAGGGAAATATTCCCAGCATTTAATGTTTTGCTGTATTTTTTAGGTTTGTGGGTGGGAACTATAGGCTAGTTGTGGATTTCTTTTGAAAAAACAATGAGGAACTTCTGAGTATCTGTATTTCTGAAAATACAGGTTTATTTGCTTTCCATCACAATAGCCAGTAACTACTGCATTCCTGGAAATTCAGATTTTAAACTAGTGAGAAGAGATTCTTCTTTTATTCACTGAAATGTCTCAGCCTCTTTTGGAGTTCATTAAGCTGTTTGTTTCAGTAATGATGTTGGTATCAGTAATTCCACAGATTAATTATCAGACTTTCAAAAGAAATGCACTGTTCCTAATTTTTGTACTTTAATTTCCTTGAATTTCATTATGTTTGTGCATGTGAAATTAGTAAACAGAGACACCAATTTTTCTTTGTTACTACTTGATGACAGTAACAACCAATATACTACTTTGCATGAAAAAGAGAAAATGGCCTGTTTTCAACCTTCCCTGCTGTTGTCCTTAGCTGGCTTCTATGTTTGGTACCAGGTTTGAACTGAAGTGGTGCAACTGAAAGGAATCTTTATCTTGCTTGTGCCTATTTATGTCCATCTGTGCCTTCTCTTCCCTGTTTTGGTTTTGTTTGTTGAAAACTTTGTATTTTTTAAATACCTTCTTTTACTGTGTTACTTTGTATATTTACTAGGTTGATGCTTAATTGTAAATATTATCGGACAAAAAGAGAGAAATAGCTGCTGCTTCTTTAAAGATATTTCATCAGAATAGTACTCTAATGTCCTAACTGTACCATAAATAGCACTGGTAATTGTAACATTGTGTTTTTTTCTAAATGAGAGTGAAGACTCCACATTAGGTTTTTGACCTTTTTTTTAATATAAAGTTTACATAGAATGTTTTGCTCTTCCTCTGTAGGAAGGAAGTTGGCCGCATCTTTACAGCATATTTATCAAGCTACACAAAAGGTAGACAGAGGAAGAAGAGAGCTGACAGAAAACTAGCTGGTTTTATGCACTTACAAATCCCTGTATTTTTCTTAACAGGTGAAAAACCGTTTGAATGTCCAAACTGCCATGAACGTTTTGCCAGGAATAGCACGCTCAAATGTCACCTGACAGCCTGCCAGTCTGGAGCTGGGGCTAAAAAGGGAAGAAAGAAGCTGTACGAATGTCAGGTAGGTAATGGAAGCAGCAGGGTCTGAGGCTGTAAAAACTCCTTCCTGTGCTGAGGAAGTGTGGGAGTATTGAGCAGGAAAGACAACGAGTATGGGCTTATGTCTCCACGAGCTACTTTAATAAAATAAATATAAGGATCACATTCAACCACGACATGCAAATAATACTTGTATCTAAATAATTCCATCTAAAATATGGAATTGCCTATATGGAGCCTCATAATACTTCTAATCAGAGAGATTCTTATAGGTAGCTAAGTGTTCATCTGCATTTTACCCACCTTTTTCATTCCTTTTCAAGGCTTTTGATGCACTGACCTAGGCCTTGCCCTGCTTGTGAGCATGCTTCATTAAAGACCAAAATACAAAGTACTATTTTATTTCTTATTTTATTGTTCTTCTGTTTGATACCAAATATTTTGACTTTGTCTGGAAAGTAATTTCAACTTACAAGGACAATCTGTAATGTCTTGTAAGCAAATATAAACACTGTGGATGGATACCTAGGGTATTTGGTCACTATGTAAATGACATTTGACAAGCTGTTCAGGTAAGGCTTACTTAGCTGTTAAGAGATTATTCTGAAAAGCTAGAAAATACAACAGCTGAAGCTGTGGCATTATTATTTGCCATTTTGCTGTCCCACTGCTATGACAGTCTCAAATAAGAACACACTTCCATTTCTTTCCTCCTTCTCTTCCCTTACTTTCTTTCCTCTGCTCTTACCCTATTCAGTTCACAGAATTCTGTGCTTTGAGGTTACACTGGGTTCAGTAGTGAAGAAAACTGGTGGATATCTGCTTTATTTTTCCAAAAGAGAGAGTGATCTTATTCATAGAAAGCACTGAATACTGCAGGAGATTAATTAATTTTGTGTTGCTAGTCAACCATTCAATCATATGTTTCACTGATGCTGTTGCATCATTTGCTTATTACGTTAGTCTGAGGTTAACTCTTGAGAGCATACCTCTGTCTTCAAGATAAGTTTGTTCTGAATATGAGAATTACTGTGTAGCACAAAGTTGTACAAATGTTTGGGCATTACCCATAGTCATTATCTTTACGAATGCCTCAGTATTTTTTAATGTTTATCTGTAAGATTAGTCTTCCAAGTTGTGTGTGTGCAACTTCTTTCTATAGCATGAGCCTGGGGAAAAATAAAAACCAAACCTGGCACTAGCATCACAAACCAGACTTCAACAGCAAAATGGAGATACTTATCTCCCCTAGAGAGACCTCTTCTTGGGTTAGTCCCTGTGACAAACTCCATCATCCTTCTGTGCTGTTGCTGAAAATTATGAGGAGATGGAACATTGAGTTTCAAAACTATTTGCCAGCAGTGAATGAGTGCTGAAATGTGTTCTTTGCAGCTTCCGGCAGGCAATAACAATTGGCACAGACAAAGACTACTGTTTCTTTACTCCGAGCCTGACTTGACCCCGGTCTTCTCCCTCTTCTACCCTGACACCTCATTAGTTTCTGCAGCCCCTGTGTGTTTTCAGGCTACTTACCTCAGTGCCAGCTGAAGGGAAGGAAGTGTGCTCATGTGCTTTGTAAACATAGTGTGTCTGCAGCTGAGGCAGTACTTTTAGCTGGAAAAGAAAATGTTGGAGTGTTTAGAGACTTTTTTCTGCTGAAATCAGTAAAGTGTTTTATTGAAATGGCAAAATGGGAGAATTCAGTCGAGTCAGTGAAACCCCACGATGCCATGAGCGAGTGAGAGTTGATAAGGAAAAGCTGGGTAGCAATACTGCACGTAGAACTTCAGTAAAAGGACAGTTTGTAATACTTTTGTTGTACAGTATTATTACAGAAATAGCTTTCCACACAAAACAGCAGACATGTACTGGGGCATGATACTGTATGTGAATTTCAGATAAGGTTAAATTAAGAAGACTTTCAAATACTGTACTGACTCATAAATCTTGTAGGTATGTCGTGCATTCACAACGTGAAGTAGCACACTCTTTAAAAAATCAATAAATATAAAATCTCTTGTTCACCTGGAGCTGACTTATCAGCTTTTACCTCCAATGTTTTTTTTTTCAATCCAATTACCAAGAAGCTACACTGTGTAAAGCTGTCACCTGAAATAGGCACTATTTTATCTTGGTTCTCTTGGCTCCATCTAACATCCTATGTCTTTTGTTTTAGGTTTGCAACAGCGTGTTTAACAGCTGGGATCAATTCAAAGATCACTTGGTGATACATACTGGTGACAAACCCAACCACTGCACCTTATGTGATTTGTGGTTTATGCAAGGCAGTGAGCTGAGAAGACATCTCAAAGAAATGCACAATATTTCAGAACGAATAGTTACAGAAGAGTGGAAAGAGCTTCCAGTGGAAACTGTGGAAGCTGAACCAGTAACATCAATGACTATCATAGAACAAGTGGAGCAAGTCCATGTCCTACCAGTAATTCAGGTACAAGTGGATCCTGCACAGGTAACTGTGGAACAGATGCACCAGGATGTCATACAGGACAATCAAGTGAAAGACACACAAATAGATGAACTTCAAGAGCAGGTGCAAATTAGTTACTTGGAAGTTGAACACATCCAGACTGAACAGGGTGCTGAAGTTCATGTGGAGCAGTTACATGTTGGGCATGTAAATCAAATACAGATGGAAGAAGTACAGGCAGAACTTATAGATGGAACAGACCTTGAACAAGTAGAATATGAAAGCGTTGATCAAGGGGAAGCAGAAGAAAAAGAACCTAATCAAGTCGATGATGCAGATAAGGAAGAAGAAGGACAAGCTGAAGAGTTACAAACAGTTAGTGGACACACAGAGTAAAAAGGTGGATGACTAGGAGAAATACTGCCATTGTGCAGTTTTGGGGATGAAATACCAAATTATTTTTGTTAACGTTTACATTGGTTTTTGAACCACCAGTGGTCATTTTTCCAATAAGCTGTCCTTTGGAAGCTGGGCGAGTGGACCAAAGTTAGTTTTCTTCATATACTATTAAACTTCTCTCAAATGTGAAAAACTTTTCCATTCATGTAATAGCATGGAAGAGAAACTACCACCAACACAGACAGCTTTCTGAGGATTTTAATAGTTAATTGCTTCTGTCATTGTTACACCATCCCTGGGGATATATAAGAGTTAACTTCATCTCTTTTCTTCTTGCAATTGAAGCAAACTCTTGTTATAGATTTACAAGGTGTCTGTGGCAGAAGAATCAGTAAAATCTAGTGGATTCTCTTGTAAGTGGCAATTGAGTACCTGTGAATTTTGGATCAGACTGTTTGCTGTACCTGAGCAGCGATCCCTAACTTGCAGGCTGGGGAAAAAACATTGTTGCTGGAGGTCTCTGAGCACAAAAGTCCTGTGCCTTTTCAACACTGACTGGTTAGATTTCCACAAAGTTCCTAGAGTGTTCAAAAACCTAGTTCAGTAAAAGACAATGTAGGTAATGTTATAGTGCTTTATATTTTTGCTTAAAATTGTCAGCTACTGATTTATTTTTTTTATTATTTGTTTTTGCATTAAATTTAGAGGTGGGAGGTTGAGGGAGGAAACAGATTCCATGTGGAGGCAGTAGGACACGCTAAAAGGGACATTTTAACGTAAGACAAGCTTGGTAGAATCTGTGGTAAACATAAGCAGCAAGAAAGCTACCATCAGACTCTTCTTTTATAAATTAAATGAAATTCTGAAAATGAGTATGTTGAAACATAGAGAAGACTTGTCTATATGGTATCAGGTTCTTGTTTATTTGAAATTAAATTCTGACACTTGACACAAAGATGTGCTAAACATAAAAGTAAAAGCCATAGGTATGAGTGCTAAAATGTGGATTGAAAAGTAGGCATGTAAATAATTTAATCAATATTAGACAATAAACCAATACCAACCATGAAAAGTTGCATTATTTGTGTCATGCAATAAATTAGGAACAACGGAGTGACTGACAATTACAGTGTCAGCTCCCAGTGGTAATAATCAATCTTCTTTTTAATGAGATTAATAGGTCTTTACTGTAAAGTTAGATTTGTTTAGAAAATAATCATCTAGATCTACATTCAAGGATGCTAAGGACTTCTAATTCTCAATTATTGCCTCGAGATTAGAGGTGCCTCCATACTTCTGAAGAACTATTTTCAAAGCCTTAACTGAAGGGAGGAATTTTTGCAAGGACATTCCCCTAATGCTTTTGGTAATCTGGTAGATCTTAGTTCACATCAGGCTTTTCTGCTCAGTCTTCTACAAATGTAGACTTATTTTATAGGATTTTTGCTTTTATTTAGTCTCATTCAAAATTATTCTTGTGTTTCATCATGAGAAACTGTTGCAAAACAAACATGGATCTCAATTAAAATTTCAAACAATTTTATTAATGTAACTTCATTCTTTTTAATGATGTTTTGTGTTTTCTGAGATACAAGTAGTATGTGATGAGATTCTTGTGCAGATGGAAGAATGTGGCTCAATAATAATAATTAAGTAAAAGCTGGCTATTGTATTTAATACCTGGATTCTGATATGAAGCTTGTCTTTTGATAACACAGAGGGGAGAGGCCTGCTTGCTTAGCTGTGGAACTCTAATTATTGAAGTCTTTGTTCATATATACCTATATACACAAGATCTGTATCTGTGGAGTTAAAGGAACAATCTGCCTGTGTGTCTAACCAATTAAACTAACTTTTAGGTAACTTAAGTCCAATGTAAATTGAGCAGTTATGTGGTCTTGGTAGCAGGACTGTGGCTTGGTAAGCACAGCGGGGCTAATTTCTTTGTTGTGCTTTATTTTCCCTTTTCAACAACAGTTCACTAATTTGGCAGGTGAGGTAAGATGCTGTTGTGCCCAGTGCTGCCCCATCCAGCCTCCCACTGAGCCTGGGTGAGAGCACCATGGGGCCAGGTCACCCCCAGGGTGAAAGGCTCTCCTCAAATAACTCCACTGGAGAGCCCTTCCCTTTGCATTCCCTGTCATTTCCTTCCCAAATGCCTGAAGCCCAAATTGCTCCCACAGGGGGAGACCCTCATGCTTCCTTGCTGCAGCAGCTGATACTGGAGGAGGAAGGATTGATGGAGGAGTCAGAAGGCTTGGCTGCTCCCTGGAACAGCCACCTTGCTCTGCCTCCTCGTCCTGCCCCAGCTGTCTGTATAGATACACAGACCTCTCCAAATGAAATAACCCACACACCACTGGAGGTGTTCTCCCCTCTGGATGCAAACGTGCTGCTGGTCCCCAGAGTCCTGTGCTGCTCTGTAGCCTGCAGTGGGGCGAATGCCTGAACTTCGGCCAAATTAAAGCAAGAAGCTAAAGCAGTGGGGTCTTGGCAGTGAGAAATGGAAGAGTGGGCACGGGTAAAAATCTGTGAGGTGTGTCAGGAAATAGAATAAAATTGAGCATTAAACTGAGACTGAGGTTCGAGGTGGACTTTCAGATTTATATGCAAGGAAAGGCAGCTGATCAATAGTTTGAGAAGCACTGGGTTTTTCAGGTAATATAAGAAAGGACCAGTAGCTTTTTTCTTTTGTTGTTATTGTTGTTAGAAAGCAGACTTCGGGAGCTGCAGCGCGTTACACCTGCAGGCTTCGGAGCATGAGATCAGTCACCTGTGTGAAACGATCGCCAGAGGACAGTGCAGCCTCTGCTTTGCTTCACCTGCCTGCAGTGAAACTTGAACTTCAACACGGGGCGGCAGACGGTACTGCCTGGCACAAACCCTGCTCCTCATTGTTTCCAAGGAGAAAATATAAGAGGAGCTTAATTTGGTGGGTTATTTTTAAGGGTGGAAGTGCTTCTTCTGCAGGGGCTGTTGTGAAAATGTAACACGCGGTTAGATTTCCTTGTCCACCCCTGGGGTCTGCCGCGGGTGATGTGGGAAAGGAGAGCAGCCTCCTTACAGTGCAAACACAATTTGTAGCGGCGGCAGCGCAGGGAGGGCGGGGCCCGTGCGGGGCCGTGCGGGGCTGCGGGGGCCGCGCCGGAGCTGCCCGAG